TTGGCAATTATTTGATCTAACTCGAGGCTACTATATATAATTTTTTGATTTTCATGTGACTTTTCTCGCAAAAATTATTTATTTAGCAATATATATATACTGTATATGACGATCCAACTTGCCATTAAGTAGAAGATATTGCAAATCATGAGAAAGAGTACAGTCAACATCTTGCAATGAAAATTATGCCATATTTGTTTATATTGCATTTCGAAAAAAGGGTCTTTCAATGACACCAAAAAGGTGATAGATTTGTTTTCCCAAAAATCGTTAAAAAGTAAATAGCAAAGAGTCGGGTTTGGAAAAACTCCTTTATTTTTGTCTCACAAATAATGTGGTATAATGCAAACAAACTTCTTCCTGCAGCAAAGAAAAATGTGTAATGGAAGTGATTGACGTACAAAGATATTGATCTAAATTTAACGCAACACGTTGCAGGATTTATGTAAATCAGTTGATATATTAACTCGGATTGGTGTAATGTTGAGATATATTTGGGCCGAGTGGAGAAGAAACCTTTGATAATTTAGTCATTTTCATGTAAATTGCGAATATAGTGTATTGAAAAAAAGAAAAAGGTTCGGTGTGGCCTAAATAGTTTTTGATAACGAAAAAAAACTTCATTTGGCAATACCAAAAAGGAAAATTATATCATAAATGGATGATCACTACAACTTGAAAGATAGACATTCCTTATGTAAGTGCATTGCATGCGTTTTGACCCGAAATCAATAAATCAATAGTTATTAAAATCAGGTAACAAGTAATGTGACACGTGATTTTTGTTCGATCAGAATTTATTTTATCGAGGTTGATTGAAATAATTTGCTTTTTTAATATGAATCTTTTTGGGAAAAGCACTACTTATATGGATAATTATACATCCAAGATCAAATAAAAATAAATTTATAAAAAAAAGGGAGAATTTTAAATTCTCCAAAATGGGTATATATAAATGAATCTATCTTGTGAATTTGACAATCAGGTGTATCGCCCCCCCTTGATCTGATGATAATGAAACTTCCAAAGGAAAAGGATTTGTGGCTCTGCTGATCATAATACATTAAATTTATGTAATATTTATTATGATTACAAGTTCCAAAGCAAGTTTTCAAAGGCACGGCACGTGTTAAATGATAAAAAAATTTCTTCAGTAGCGAAAATAATACGTAGCTCCATGAAAGAAATTGTATCTGAAAAAGGTTAACAGACGTTAAACAATAAGGGTTTCAAGATATTGATAAAAGATGGCGAAGACAAAGGTTTATCAATTTGATAAGACTTTTCTGTACTAGTCGTTCGAAATCATTTTCGTAAATCCCAATGCATTATGATGTACTTATTCATCGTCATAAATAAAAAAATTTAGGTTTTTTTTTGAAATAATATTTAATAAATTTATTTTGATAAAAAAGGAAGCAATTGCATTTTGACTTTGTAATCACAAAAAGATGTATATAAAATATAAAGTTTTAACGCCTTTGTCAAAAAAGAGTTTTTTTTTAATCAGGTTTAAAAACAAGTATTGTATTTTGATGTGAATAAACGAGGTCAATTCAACGAAGATCATTGGTCCTTAAAGTGGAAATCAATAAATGCGAGGTTTTGTTGAGGTTTCGTAATGTTCTACTGCATATTGACAGATACTTGGAGAGCTCAGGATACCAATCGTCTTTACTCATTTTTTTCGTTAAAAAGTCAAAAAGTATTTCTATAAATAACAATTCCCTCAAAATATACAACAATTTAACTTGGTTAATAAATGACATAATTAATTTATGATTTCCAGAGAAACGCCATATATAACGAGATATGTGATTTCCAATGAAAATCGGAATTGGTTAAATGTGAAAGAATTATTTGTTTTCGCTTCATTCTATTGATGATTTTCGTTCAGATTAATCCATGATCGTAGTAGAGCCCCATATTATTTACAGCAGGTTTTTTTTTATTTTTATTAATATTATTATTATTATATCATGTGTTTTAATTTAAAATTCGATTTGCGTGACATAATCCGAATTTTTTTTTTAAAAAAAAACATTTTTAATCGGGAAACTCCTCAAAAAAAAAAAAAAAAAAAAATAAATAAAAGGGAAACACAAAGATTTTTGTGAGTCTTCTCTTACTCTATATTCTCTTCATTTCTATTAATACAAAAAATAATTTTAATAACTAATATAATCTTCATAAATAAATTTCAAATCTGTGATCAAATGGTTGACTCGGCGAAATTATTATACCTCACAATACTACTTTTCGTACTAATAATATTGAGTGCACCTTTCTTTAGCCCACACTTTGAGGAATTTCCAATAACAAAGGAACCCGAACTACATGGAAATTTTCTTCATATAACCGATTTACATCCTGATCCCCTTTATGATTTTAATGCTACAGTGAAGTCAAGGTGTCACAAACGTTTTCAAGGTTCTTCAAAACCTAAACATATGTTTCAAGGTGAGGCTGGTCCTTGGGGAGCGCCAACGACGATTTGTGATTCTCCTCTCAGTCTTATAGATGCAACGTTTGAATGGTTGGAAAATAATTGGAAGGATCAACTTGATTTTATCATATGGACGGGGGATAACTCCAGGTAAATTTTTGATAGTCTCGTGATTTGTTGCCATGTGGCTTGAGCGAAGTGCTAAATGTTTTTCTTTTTTCTTCATCTGTAGGCATGATAACGACGAAAATTTTCCACGAACTCCTTTGGAAATGTTTCAATTGAATAGGATGATTTCCGAAAAGTTTTTAAAGACGTTCGCAAATACCAACAAGGCCAAGAATAAGCACGCGCCACACTTCATTCCCATCGTACCATCAATAGGGAACAATGATATTTTTCCACATAATATCATTGAAGCGGGTCCAAACAGTATGCTCGCAATCCTTCATGACATCTGGTCTCCTTTTATTCCTAACGGACAGCATGAAACTTTTATAAATGGAGGGTATTATTATACGGAGGTGATCCCGGGAAAAGTTTTGGTGATCTCATTAAATACCATGTATTTTTTCAAATCAAACTCCGCAGTTAATGGATGTGTAAATCCTCTTCAGCCTGGTACGAAAGAAATGAAATGGTTGAATGATGTTTTGAAATTAGCACGTAAACGTGGGATGAAGGTTTACTTGACAGGTCACGTTGCACCGAGAGCCAGGGCATATACCATAACGTGCTATAAGAAATACGGTCGATTATCATTAAAATATCAAGACATCATATTAGGACATTATTATGGACACTCGAATATGGATCATTTCTTTTTTATTGGATCTAAAGGTTTAGCCGAGAAAAATCCTAAAAATAACACGAATGGTGATGTTTTGTCAATGGATGATGATGATGATTTGTATGAAGATGAGGAGGATGAAGAAGCCATCAAAGCCGAAAATCGAAAAACATTATCTCCAGAAAGCGATTCAAAGATTGATGAATATGTGGGCCAACTTTTCCATCATTATCGTGCGATACCCTCTCATACGGATGATTTAGCAAAAGATTACGTTGTCGTTAATATAAATCCATCTGTAATTCCTACCTTCTTTCCCGCTTTGAGAATAGTTAAATACAACACGACAGAAGTGACAAGAGAGGAAGTTGGTACGACGAAATCACATCAAAATACCTTTTTAACACCTTTAGGATACACTCAATATTTTATGAACATTACCCAAGCAAATTTATATCCAAACGTTACGCCAGAATATACAGTTGAATATACAACGTGGGATGATTATTTTATGAAAGATTTAACGGTTCCAAGTTGGATTCAATTGGCGAGAGATATTGCAAATAATGGACTTGATGGCTCTCTATGGGAAAAGGTTCAAGAATATTTGTTGGTAGGAGCAAATTCCTTGATTAAACGAAAGAACAAATCATTTCAACAATGTAGATATTCAAGTTGTTCCGCAAAAGGACCAGAAGATTATCTGGTTTCGGAACTTTCGTTTTAAAAAAAAAAAAAAAATTTCACGATGTATAAATATTTAGCATTTCATATTTTATAAATAGTTAGTTGTAAAGTAATTTTATTGATATTTTCATTTTCTTCAGTTAAGGAAGCACAAACAATTTTAGAGACAGTTTTTTTCTTTTTTTTTTTTGATATTTTTTTTTTTTTCCTTTATTTTTTGAAGTTCAATCATTGGAAATAAACAAACTTACGAAAATTAAAGTATTGGTTAATCATTTCAGCCTGATAACCTTTATAATTAATCTATATTTTTACCAATTTTCGGATGTAAAAAAATTTGTAAGCCATGTAAGCCACCACCGTTTTTATATTTTAACATATATTTAGCTAAATAGTAATTCAACAAGTTACAAAGCTTTTACTCAGCCATCTTCAATTCAAAATTTACTTTTTTAGCAAATAGCCTGGCTTAAAAATTTAAGCCCATTGTTATTTTTTTTTTTTTTTTTTTTTAGCGAAAATTCACACGATTTGTGCGCAATTTCGGTTTGCTGAATCCGGGAGAACGGAAAAGTTACTTCCAAAGTTATGAAACATGGCTTTGATTTTCGCTTAAATATGAATTAAGAATCCTGGCTTATCCCAGTTATGGAGATTTTTTTTTTTTGTATTAATTAATGGGACAAAGCTTTGAACGAAATTTAATGGGCTTTGATCCACTTATCAACAAAAACTTATAAAATACCTGCATTCATTTCTTTTCAATAAAGATTCAAAGATTCAAAAATTCAAAAGAAAAAAATCAAGTAAAAAATGAAAGGAAATACCAGAGTAATCATCTTAATCATCAGTGCCTTGGTGTTATTATCAGCTGTCATTACTACTGCTTTACCACAAGAAGATGAGCATAAATGGCAAGAGGTTCCCGACAAAATTAGTAAGTTTAATAAAAAAAAAAATTTTTTTTTTTATAAAATTTACACTCGTCTAATTATGTAGAGAAATTTTTCAACGGAGAAGACAATGAAGAAGAGAAAGCTCCACCTAAAGAAAACATGATGGCTTAAAATTACGAACGCGTCTTTATAGAAATTAGAAACTTAATCATCTGTTTCTCTATTTTTAAATTTTTGTTTTTGTCATTTTCGATCACACTTTACAAATAGATTTCTCGTATGTAATATGTCTCAGTATTTTATATATATATTACTTTACTTTGATAACGACCAAGAGTATATACTTTATGTAATTCATTCTTTTGAACCTATATAAATTTATATTTTTTATTCGTAAATAATTTTTTAATTGGAGAGCAGTAACAATTTTTAATTGTAACCGGACTTGCGATGTAAATATGTTCGAAATAAGTCATATGCTTTGAACTTTTTCTGTTAAAGAGTCATAAAGAACATTATAGGTTTTTTATGCAAGTTATCCACTTTTTGGGAAAAAATATGTATAACTTTAAGCATTAAGAAATAATTTTGAAGATATATTTCAAACTAATAATTATCGCATTTGAACATGATAAAATCATTACGTGTAAATAATTTAACATATCATTTTTACGCGAGTCGAAAAAGGAAATCGAGAAATATGCAAAAGTGATTCGCTATTTGCGCTTTAATTTTGAGTCACGTTATTTGGGCCTATATTCAATTGGAACTCCAACTATGTAAATAAAGTCATTATTTGAATTTATGAACTAGTCATTCTCGAATCTTACTTTAGATTATAGTTTCATCATTCTTTAAGTATTTCAAGTTCTAGAAGAGAAATACTTTAAACTTCCAAGAAGTTCTTTTATCAAATATTATGGTAAAATAGCCAGCTATCAGTTGAAAACAAACATTTCTCATTTCGGGAACACTATTACGATATTGATTTGGATAATTCAAAATTGCCGTCAAGATTGAAAGTTTCAATGATGATTTTCGCCATAATTAATTTTAAATAAAAAAGAAATTATCAAAAGAAGTTACAATTTGTTACCGTAAGTAATTCTTATACATTATCCGGGGAGGAAATGAGCAAATTTTTCATATGTAACTGAACCATGTTTTGTTAGTAACATTTCGGTCATCTTTCAAATATATAAAATATCTTTTTATTCACTGTTTAAACATAATATTAATGCGCACATCCAGTATATTATCAAAGCGCCGTAACCTATTTACATCGTGAAGATTTCTTGCTCTGGAAAGCTTCTTCACTGGCTAAATATGCTTTCAAACATACTTCGAAACATCTGTTATCTGCATTTTGTGGGTTAATTATTCCTAACTGCGGTTTTGCCCATATTTTTGGTAAATCAAAATGCGAACTGCCTCGGAGTGGTTGGTACGCACTTATTTCCAAGATCTTTTTTCCATATTCATATATTCAGCCCGAATGTTGATTTTGCTTCATTTCATCATTTTATCTAAAATTTCATTATATTGCCGTGAGACCGTTTGATCTATTCGATCCTGGCGAATAATATCTAGAATTTCACTTGGAAAAGCTATGTCTTGATCTAATCGATGATTATGGAATCTTCCTACTGTTACAAATCAATACATATGAGCTATGAGAACTATCTTCGTTTTTATTCCCCCTAAGCGTGCTAACTTTCTTCTGTATACATTACTGATCTGGTCTTCGATATCCTCAAACATGACTAAGGGACCTTCTCAATAATGATAAGTTTCTGGAATAATAGCAAGATGATCTACACATAAACCTTGATCGGAAATTCTTCTAGTTTCTACTATTCTTTTCGGAGCTGGATCTTCTATTCTTCGAAATATTATTTTTTCTTTTTCAAGTTCAGACTCATTATCAGTTCCAGATTCAAATTCAAAGTCTGATGTATCTCCTTCATCAGCGGTCTCATAGTCCTGCTCCAACTCTGCCTCTGCCTCTTCTTCTGGTTCAGGAGGTTTGGTTGACTCAGGTAGTGCTAGTGCTGGATTTTTCCAGCTTGGCAAAAAGTTTCTGAATAATTGTCCTAATGCACCGGTGATACTACCTAGTACTCTACTCATTTTTCCCAAAGATTATATATGGTTACAAAAAGTTTAAAATAAAAATTAATTTATTCAGATAATTAGAGTTACATATTTATTCAAAAGAAG